TGGTGGAGTCTGTAATTGGTCTGTAGTCTGGGCAGCTCCACGTCCACATGCTCTCTACAACAAGCCGACGCTGACATTTTCCACTCCAGTACGCTACTCGATCTCAAAATCATAAGGTGTTAATTTTAGATGCCAACGCATGACTTTGGAGGCGACGTCTTACACCATAAAAGCGTCATTATGCTAAATATATTGCATTAAATGAAATAATTGTAGGTGTGATGTGATCCCAGCGATGGTGCTGCTCATAGAACCAATGGGGTTGAACAAAGTACTATATTACTAATTACTTACTGATTAGATTATGAAATGCGGACTGATGTTGCGGGAAAAATAAAACTAATATTGTAAAAAGATATTTAACCAGATTACGCCAACTAACTGTATTTATGAGGCACTTTTTATCAGACCTAACCTAAGTGATAAAAGTTTTGTTAACAACCATATAAGATGTATACGCAATGGAGAATCATTATAGAGATAACAAGTATGGACGTTTTTGTTACTATATTCCTCGTTCTGCTGGGATCTTCCGGGGTACGTTCATTCTTCGTAAAGATCAATTTAAAATTGAATGAAACTTTTTAGATCAGCTGTAGATGTAACATGTACCATTTGGACGAAGTTGAACAGTTTTGCGCGGAATCTGAAAATTTAAATGCAGAAGCCATTCTAGATTTTTATTTTGGAAATATTCCAGAGAATCTCAGTTTTGCCAATTACCTAAATTGCCTCTTTGAAAAGTTGAATTTTTCTACACCCGAATGAATAATCCTGTTTGACATTATCATCGCATCAGATCGCTTACCATGGTACATAGGACGTGTGTGTCAAGATGTCGTAAGCATGATAATTAAGGTCGAATTGGAATTTAAAATTTCTGCCATTTACTGTAAGAAACATCCCCCACACGTTCTTACTCCATCTAGTGTCAGGAAATGCATTGTCGAGCATTATAGTAATACCCCGCATGATTACAAATAACTCCCGAAAATATATTTGTAGTGGTTAATTAACTTTGTTCTAAGGGCGAACGCAAACATATTTCATTCGTAGATGATAGTGAGTTATTATTAATTAATTATAATTAATTAATTAATTATAATTACACTCTTAGCCTATTTTTCAACATAGTCGCCATTCATATTGAGGCACTTATCATAGCATGGTACAAGTGTTTTGATTTCAACTGCCACTCTATGATAAGTACCCCAATTTGAATGGCGCTTGTATTGATAAATAGCGCAAGAGTGTAGCTCCCACATGTATATAATAAAAGATTTTATTTCAAAACGTCCGCTACTTTCTGGAAAACCCTCGTAAATAACTATAAGTTGATTGACATCCTGTGATATGTCAAGATGTATGGGATTGAAAATGATATCTGCGCCAATGATGTTGATTTTGTTGACTTGTAGTTGCTCCTTAGGTTATAACTCGTTGTATGAAACTTTCCTTTATTTGCTTTGCCTATATACAAATATGTTATGTACTATGTGGTAAATAAATAATAGTATATTTGAATAAATTTATGATAAGAACATCTTTTGGGAAAGAGCAAAATTGAATTACATCTTTATATCAATGAATATTGTCCAATGCTGGTAATACATCGTCTGCTTTATCTATGATACAAACTTTATAGGATGCAGGTAAACGACTCCGGCTTCCACAATTATGACGGGAAGGTAGAACATCAACAAAGGCAAGATTTTTACGACGCAAGACTCCCTTCAATCTTACATCATTTTTACAGCAATCTTCGATTTGATCGGCAAGTTCTTCATAAAATACGTGTAGACAACGAAAGCTTTTCATTCAAATTGGCTGCTTTCTTCGTAAACACGTAAAGTGGGAAGTAAGTAGGTCAATTTCATTAACTCTTCTTATAAACTGGTCGCTTGGCATTTAAAATTGTTTCTATTCATCGTTCAATTGTTGATGTGTATGGAAAAGCACCCTTAGAACAATATTTAGCACTTTTTCCACAAGGTATGAGTAATTAGACGCCAGATAAGAAATACCTCAAGCTCGTCTTGCGTGCTTCACGTGTCTTTCTCTAATGAATGCGAATGAATCGCTTCAATTTCACCGCGAAACCGAATCACGCGCCTAATTTCGTTTAAATTTAAATGACAAATGAAGAATATACTTATATTCACTGCAATGTTTGGTATTGCGAATTTTTATATACATGGTAATTCAAAAATGTATTATATTCAGGTACTATCTCAACCTCCATTCTTTCGTCTCCTAAGCTATTCTTTAGTGACTATTGAAGTGAAGTGTAGTGATAGAGTCATTATATCGCACACATGACAAACGTCACTAGCGCACGTCTACCACACTCACACCCCTCCCACTGTGAACGGGGGGGGGGGGGTGCGTGAAACTTCGGCGAGTAAGATGAGAAATATGTATCGAAATGTTTCTTAATACACAACTTCCTTTTCATTCACTGTTTATTTGCATGTCACCTTTTCGTTGCTTTTTGAAATGTACAGATTTTTGGCGCATTTTTGCAAATTTATTTGTAAAAAGGTAGCTTTTAATCCCACTTTGGCCGGCTGGCTGGCAGTAAATGCGAGCCCGTAGAAGAACGCTTGTAATTAGACGAGGAGTGTACATGTAACTATCGGGGCCGTGTAATGAACAACTTTAGGGACGGTGCTACAAGATATGGGTTCGGTGACATTTGGGCGCCATTCCTAAGCGTGTTATACTAACCTGGAGATTTTTCAGGCGCATTTTTGCAAAAAATTTTTTTGTAAAAAGTAGCTTTTAATTCACTTTGGCTGGCTGGCTGGCTGGCTGGCTTGGCTGGGCTCGGCTGGCTTGGCTTTGGCGTAATGCGCGCCCGTAAACGCTTGTAAAAGACAAGGAGTGTTGTAAATCCCGTGTAATAAGAACGTTAGGGATGGGGCTACAAGATTGGAGCTCGACGACATCTGACGCCATCCCCGAGCGTATTATACTAATGGAGATTTTTCAGTTTTTATCTATCTTTTTCTACAGTTTTTTCTCCGATTGTTTTCAAATTGGTGTCGTCGGGAAGATCTTGTCAACGCGCACAACTCCTGCGTGGCGGAATTTTGTTTTTTTTTCCTAGGGGCGAAATAAACCACTTTTGCGGGCGCGCTTCGAGGGGTAGTCGACAAAAGTTTCTTACAGCGCGAATCGCGGTCCTCTTCTCGTGTCACTAATAGAAGGTCGACTATGTGAAGTACCAAAAGTTGAATACGATTTATGCCGGATTTTAGCGCCAAAATGTGAATACGAATGAAACGTCGGAACTGTGTATCGACAAAGGGAATGTGGTACCCCCGACGAGATCTTACTGATGGTGGAGTCAAACTTTCAAATCCGAATTGTTGCGGGTGATCAGAAGTGGGTGTCGACAAAGGAATATGGTCAAAGGATTTTAATGATGGGTGAGTAAACTTCAAACGCGAATTGCGAGTGCACGTACCGACAAAGTGACGTCGGTAGCTTTCGGCAAGATCTTATTGATGGTGGAGTCAATACTATAAAACACTGATCTGCCACACAAAAAAGCGCTGAAGTCCCTTTCTCACACGAGGACTTTGATTTTTTCCTATCTTATTCTACAGTTTTTTTCAGATTGTTGTCAAATAGGTGTTATCGGAAAGATCTTGTCAACGCGCAGAACTCCTGCGTGGCGGAATTTTGTTTTTTTTCTTAGGGGCGAAATGAACCACCTTTTGCACGGCGCGCTTCGAGGGGTAGTCGACTTTGGACGCCCAAAAGTTTCTTAGATCTCGAATCGCGGTCTCTCTTTTTCTCGTGTCGCGGTCTCTCTTTTTCTCGTGTCGCCAATAGAAGCTGGAGCTATGAGAAGTACCCAAAAATTGAGCAGGTACTATTTTGTTCCGGGTTTTCAGTAGAATCCACCAAAATGCGAATTGCGAGTGAGCGGGACGTCGGATGTGGGTACCGACAAAAGAAATATGGGAACCTCCGAAGAGATCTTACTGATGGTGGATTCAAAACTTCAAACTCGAATTGCGGGTGAATGGAACATCGGAAGTGGGTACCGACAAAGGGAACATGGCAGCTCCCGATAAGATTTTACTGATGGTGGAGTCAAAACTTCAAACCCGAACTGCGGGTGCACGGGAATTGGGTTAGCGACAAAGTGAATGTAGTAGCGTTCGACAAGATCTTATTGATGGTGGAATTAATACTAGCTAATAAAAAACTGATCTGCCACACAAAAATGCGCCGAAGTCCCTTCGATCTCACACGAGAACTTTGGTAATTTTTTTTCATTTTAGTATATTCGCACGCACTAAAATCGTGAACATCTTTGCCAATGCAATCGTGTTCTGTGTAATTGCGATTGCTGATAATGCGTTGACTGATAATAAACAAACAGGTATGCGAATTTTTCCACGACCATGTTAAAGAAAAATCCGTCAGTCCATCCGCGCACGGATTTTAAACCAAGATTCACCACTATTTAGGCCAATAGAATGCCAAAATTCACATTTATGCAATAATTCTAATGGGAAAACCATCGAACTCATTTCCTGGATGCCCAAGAGGTAACTCGTATGTTTTCTCGATTTGAATAGGGACTGTGAAATCTTTCGTGACATTGAAACCTACAATAAGTGTCCGTAATGAAGCGGCGAAAATGGGTACCGACAAAGGGATAGTGCCACCACCGGTAAAAACTTTAAACGTGGATATAATGTAGCTCTTCGAGACGTATTCAACGCTTCTCCCAGTTCAATCGCACTATCCGCGACTGAGATCCCTCTCCGCCTTTCAACTCGATAACGGAGCGCCGGAAGTGGGTATTCACAAAGGGAAAATAATAGATATCGATGCGACGTTTACTTCGGAAGGATCAAAACTTTAAACGGAATTTGATTTACAGGAGTTCCCATACTCTTTCCCATATCTACCATTTATAATTCAGAGTACATGTAATGAAACTTTTTGAGTTTTTTTTTAATATAAATAAAATGCGACCCTAATTGGCTTTATTTAATCGATTTCCTAATTTTTTTGGCAATGTACGCACAGTAGATTTATTCATACTAATGTAGTCAAGTTCTATTTTCTAACCGTGGGCGGAGGCAGCTTTATAATTCTGGGAAATGCATTTTCTTACAGTGGAAGGGCTAAGAACGCTTGGAGGATTTTCCTTGCAGAAAACTGCAGATTTTTTAAAGTCTTCTGTTAGTTCATCTATTAAACTGACGACATCCTGGCAAATACGTGACATTTGCCACGCCAGATCGTCAGAAGCGATGATATTGTCAAACAAGATTGATCCAGTGGCGGTTGTGAAGTTCCACTTCAAAAAGATGCAGTTCAGATAATTGACAAAATTAGGACTCTCTGAATTTGAATAGTAGTATTCCAAAACCGGAGTTTTACCTAAATTCGCTGATTCTGCGCAAGCACGTTCTTCATCGCTTACATATTGCATATAACACATACAGTTCACCTGAAAGGTTTTGTTAAACTTACTAACGAAGTAAACTACTTACGTACTTCAGATAATCTTATCAGAAGAACCAATATGGTAAAAGATGCCGCTATTTTTCTACATGAACTAAACATCGTGCGATTTCTTGTTATGTGTCTGTGTAGCAGAAGCATCTTATATACTTTTCTTCATTAATGGTGTGATAACATATCACCCATTTACTGTTATTGTCGACTGTATAGACAGATTGTATTTATACTTTTACGTTTTATTTTGTAAAGCAATTTCTAAAAATAAAACAAATCAAGCGAAGGAGCTATCATGATATACAAAAGGTTTCCAAATAGAACTTTATGAAACATTTAATCAATCATGTGTAGGGTGGTCAAATAAGCGTCGAAGATGATGCACCTTGGAAACTACTCATTGTAAGAAACATGCGGTAACATCTATAAATTGGTGTTTGATGGTCCTCAATTATCTATGTTTGGTGAACATTTAAAGCGAGTTTTTTTTAAATTTTATCATTGAGAGTTTGTAGCAGTACAAATTCCAAAAAAACAAAAATTTTCCTTCCGGCTCAGATCGGTTACAATAGGGTCGGTTGGTTTATTAAGTAAATAAACCAACCGAAAAGAATGTGGCGCGCTCATTTTTCTGTGGTTTTGGGTATTTATGTTGCTGTTTTTGAGATTTTAGCATCGTAGTTTTAATATGCATCAAAATATTTTTGAAATCATTGTTTCCGCATTTCATTATATATAGTTAGGTATCATTATAAAGAAATTTCAAATTATATATAATAAACTACCCCAGATACTTAATTGTACATATGAGCCAAAAGCGAACACAGTGTCCCCAATGTTCTGTTCCTCAAAATTCCGAATTTTTGCATTGCAGTTTAAATTCTAGATTCCTTTGAATAAACATCAAACAGGCCAATACATAAACTAGTGGACTTTTAATTCTCAGTAATCATAATAATCATGAATAAACAAGATAATTATGGATTTATTAATATCAATAGAAAAACCTCATTAGACAAATGTCATCAGACTCCTCTCATTTATAATTTAATTTAATGGAAAAGTAAATAAAGAGATAACAAAGTAAAGTATAGTAGAATGAAACAAATCAATTTGTCTCTTTCTACTTCAATTTGCTACATTTTGCAAGATGGTAGGCAACTTTACATACTCCGTTTAGAAACATCAATTCACTACAATATTGTAACGGAAATTTAATTTCCTTCTTTATTTATAACAATAAATTTACAATAGTCTTAAAATGGATTAATTTATAACAGTAATTACAATTTATTAACAACAATTTATATCATAAGAAGACGGACGCACCACACCACAGCGTGCCTTCTGAGTTCCGAGGTAATGCGCAATAAATTCTGCGAAAGTGGACTGTTGCTTCCTGTTCAGCGCGCTGCACATCTTTGTAGTTTGGCACTGCGCAACCATCTCCAAGATTCTGAAGGTGCGCTTCAAACGTTCAATCAATCACAATTAGTGCCCGCGGTACACAAAAAAATAGTGCTTTTAATGATGCAAGCATATCGCTTTGCATAATTGTTGTATGGACCTTAAAAAATGATTTGATCCGTAGTTCCTGAAATTTGATCCCTTAGGATTGGAATTTCAGGGCGGGGGTTCAAGTTTCATGTGAAAAATGTTGAAAAAAGTAAATTTAGCCACCAAGGTCTGTTTGTAGTCACCGCCGCAAGATTCTAACCTGTTGAACGCAACGCAATGCAATGGTTAGAATTTCCGAACAACCACCGGAAGTCATGATAGACCTCCATTTTTAAAATTGGCCGCCAGAAAGTGAAACTTCGTGCTGAGCCCAAATGTTGGACTGTTGGGTATCATTTCAAATGTTTTTTAGGTCTCTGAATACGTCTGTTACAACAAAAATACGAATAAACACACCATATGGCCTTTCGGCCGCGATATAGAGAAATATCGCTCGAAATATCGAATAGGCAATTGATGGGAAGTTTTATGAAAATAAGATGTGGCTAGGCAAATTTCGTTTTCGAATTAATGATAACATATTAAGGTATGTATTGATTTTAATGTAAATTAACTTCTATTTGTGGACATGTGCATGTCGGTGCTAATCATATCGACATATCCTCAATATCTTGGTCGGGGTCAATTTCTGTCCGGTTAGAACATTGCCCTTTGCACTTTCTGCACGCCAAGATACACGGCAGTTGGTACCGACGGCGGCGGCAACAGCATTGCTGCGTCTCGAAGCCCGTTGTGCAGCCGCATTTATTCAAAGCTCTGCAAGAACGCCAGATCTCGGGGTGAAGTGTCCAGAGCGGTTTCCACTGGTCCTTCTCCTTAGTCCAGCCCCACATTGCTGGTGTTGTGGGACTGCAGCCTGCCCCAGATGTGACCGGTCTGGTACGCAGACCGTTTGACGTATTGCACCAGGGCCCCACGAGTTGAAGGGATAGCGCCTACGTGCTTATGCTGTGTAGCAAAAAGGTGTTTCAGCGCCTGATCAACACTAGTACATGAGCCATCCCACACACCGTACAAAGATACAGTAAACCTTTCCATAGCTTTCCATGTTAACGCGCAGGAAGGTAACCGAATACTAACTCATGGCATTAGGTATTACCGCAGTTATGGCCATGAGATTTCCCCGATGATCCTCACGGTCATAGCCTTGGACTTTGGCCTCGGGCTTTCCCATGTTGACCTTGGGTTTCCAAAGGTCGTGACCTTGGGCTTTCGCCTCGGGGTTCACCCAAGGACGTGACCTTGGACGGTGACATCGGAATTTCCCCAAAATCGTCGACTTAGGGTTTTCAAGGTCGTGGCCGTGAACTTTGACTTCGACTTGGGAAAACCTAAAGTTCTAAAACATAATTTAAATATTTTATTATTAAACAAAAAAAAACACCATTACAAAACCTTGCTATAAAAATTATAGGGCCAACATAAAATTTTTCTGTACACAACCCGCTCACAGAATGGACATAGTACAGAAATATATGATTTCAACAACAAGATTTACAAGATCTCAAGGAATAAAAAGTGTGTACTAACAGCAAGAAATATCCAGAATTAAAATGGTCCAAGGGAACGCAATTACAAACGAAATATCACTTTCATGAAAAACTTCCTACCAAATTGTCACTGAAATTGGCTGAACGGACACTTGCCACAATTTTAAATCAACGTAACACTTTCATAAACTGGACGATGAACTTTTCGATTATTAAAAAGCATTCCACCCTGCAATGACTACTTGCCAAAACTTAACTTTGACGTAAACAGGCTGACTACGTGTGTCAACTTAATTGAAACAATAAGTATGTGTATAGAAATTTTTAGTAAGATGAACTACCCACGCATTCATAAATCACCCAAACAACCGCGTTGTTAATTTGCTCCACTTATTTAAGAAATCTCATCTTCACTACTCTCTTTTTCCGCCTAGTTATTAACCGACGAAGAACGAACACCCAACTACGTCGCCAAATTAATGCCCATATGGGTTGCGCGTATCAATGCAGGTGTCCTAATACTAAACCTAAATAACGTTTACTCATCTCAATAGGCCTTATTGGCCTATTGCACACGAACGGTTAATCGACCGACCGTTTGTTTCGCCGACGCGCGACGGGCAGGTAAACTGGGATTATTTTACACACGGTACCAGCCACCCATCGGGAGGTTTGACTCTGTGGTGTATTCGAAGACACACATCCGTTTAACTACAGTTGTAGAGCACGTTATGTAACTAACCATTGACTCACCGCCGTTTATTTTGTTCCACAGAATAAGACCTTCACAGAACAGAAACATAAATGGCGCTAAATTGTCACTGATTACAGCGTTTCCCGTGGTTGTACGGAGAACTATTTATCGCAGACTCAAATATTTTTTTGCAAAACCTGTAATTTTGGTCGTTACAGGAAATATTTTTACCGTCGATTTTATACGTACACATGGTTTTACACATGTCAATTTTGACTTTTAAAAGATTTAAAATATGAACAAGTTATGTGACCGTAAAGTGTTGTGTGACGGATTTTAACTATAAAATATCAAAAAGGCATCGTTTCCCATATTTTGAAACAGATTGTTTTGTGTTTGAAACGCGAAGAGGGTTGAAATGTGCTGTTATTTCTCTCCTATTTATGCAAGGTATGGAATTTATAAATTACCAACGGTATAGGCGCAAAAGGGTGTAGACTTGAGTTTTATATTTATATAGACGTAGATACTTATATTGTAATTCCTTTTAGACAATGAATAAAAATACGTTTTAGATAATTCAACAACTTCCACCCTCGCTTCTCAAGTAACAAGTAAGCATCAGGATCAAGTTAACATTTGCTGTCAAAAACTTGTGTGACAATTTGCTGAAACGGTTTTATTACCTCTTGGAACAAAAAATTTAGTTCTAAAGATATTTTTTAACAAAAATATGTATTTAGTCCAAGCAGCAATTAAAACCAAATATTTCGTACGACAAATCCTTATGTAAGTATCTTTCTGCAAAGTGTTAACATATACAAAGCGTAAGTTCCATTCACTTCTGAGTTTTATATGTAATTTGTAAACATGTAATTTAAGTTCTCTGATGTGTTAAATAATGTAATGTGATTGTATCTAAATACACTTTAATTTAACAACTGTGTAGGTGTATTCTTTATCGATATTTATGATTTAGATCGAATTGGGGAAATTACTTCATGAAGCTGGTCACCAGATGGCGCTACTCCGATTTTGATGTTTTAGTTCACAGTACACCCACCAGGGTCCGCCAAAATACCATACAAATTTTTTAACATTGCTGTTTCTATTCTGAGAAGGCCGTATTCTGTGTTTTGTTCTTTATTAGTATACTTTCTGTGCCCGAGATTAAAATAACAGCGCCAAACAATAATATGGCATAATGCAGCATAATTTATTATCCTCGCCATTAGAGATTGCCGGTACGTCATAGTTCACAATCGTATGGTTTAATATGAAAAATAATAATAATAAATAATAATGCCAACTTGATTAGAAAATATACTCCGAGATGGCGACAGCTGTCATTTATTGGATGTTTATTTGAAGGTGCAAAACTGTCAAATCGCAGAAAGTATCGTTAGTCGATTTTGGTTTTTAATTGGTATAAAATATCGTAGT